CGTGCTCGCAAGTTTGGGTTACGGTTAGGCCCCCCCCCCTGGTACAAATCCTGTACACGCCCCTGAGATGTTGCTACCAAACTCCGAAAAACGGTCACACATCCACAGCCAGTACAATAACCTACACAAGTCGACAGTAGGAGTGTATTAACGTTAGTCTCGAAGACTAGCTTGGCTAATTGCCACCGGTCCGGAACAAGTTAACTATCTATTTGCTTGATCATGATAGATCTATTTTTACTAATATTATATACACCAATAAAAATTCGTGACGCAGTCAATGTAATCATGATATATCTATTTGCTTGATGATTTTCTATGATATTTTTTCTCGTAGATGTTTGATAAGATGAGAGAGTTGTACATCAGCGTCGATGACATTGACCTTTACGTGGGCGGAATGATGGAGACAACGAGAAACGGACCCGGACCGCTGTTCAGGGCAATCATACGCGACCAGTTCTACAGGATCAGGGACGGAGACCGGTTTTGGTTCGAAAATAAAAAGAACAAGTACGTGATTACTGTGGATGAAAAGCAGTTGTGGTGGTGGTGGTAAAGAAGAAGATGATGGTGGCGGTGATAATGCTGCTTCTGCTGTTGTTGTTGCTACTGCTGCTGCTGCTGCTGCTGGCTGCTGCTTCTGCATGATGATGATAATTATAATAATACAACAAAATAATAATAATAATAATAAAATAACAACAACAACAATATTTTTCTTTTTCATCATCATCATCATCTTCTTCTTCTTCTTCTTCTTCTTCTTCTTCTTCTTCTTCTTCTTCTGCTTCTTCTTCTACTTCTTCTTTCTTTCTTTTTCTTCTTCTGTTTCTTCTTCTTCTTCTTCTTCTTCTTCTTCTTCTTCTCATTATTATTATTATTGAGGACGTGTTTAGTATTCATACCACCAACATATACATTAACACCAATGCTGCTGAGAGTAAACGTTGTGGAATGTTTCTCCTACATCCTCTAATTACTGAGCGCCTGTTGACTTCCGTTATAGGTTATTTACCGCTGATGAGATCAATACGATTAGGAATACCAGGCTGCGTGACGTCATTCTAGCAGCGACCCCTATCGGGCACGATGAGATTCAGGATGACGTTCTATTCTGGCAGGACGGTGAGCTTACAGGCGGTGCTCCTCAAATGAAACTGCTGCCATCGTTGCTCGTATCGTTGCTAAGGAAAGCAATACGTGTTACTATAGCCTTTAAGTATATATATGTTTATATATATATATATATATATATATATTGGTGTCGAATGTATTTCCTATTCTCATCATTGTGATTCTTATTGTTGCATTTTTCTGTTTGTCTGGCTTTCTTTTTGCCGAAAGGCAGACATGGGGACAGACAGAGGAACGGGTACACTGACTAAACTACCATTTGCCCGTGCCCCACACCTACCCCTCCGTCTGTCACTATGTCTGTCATTAGCTATATCGATCCTCAGTCGCTCAGCATTCTATATGATTCCCTCAATAACAGGTGATATGAAGGGTTGCCCTCAGCCGAAGCAACTGACAGAGGAAGACATGGAACCGTGTACTGGTCGAACAACCCACGACAACTTCGATGGAAACGAGGCTTCGTACATAATTTCCTGTATTATCCTCGGAATAATACCAATAAGTGAGCTCCTAGTGTTTCATGTTCATATTCGTAGCTAGCGTGGGGAGGGGGGGGGGTGCAAGGGGGCAGTTGCCCTCCAGAGAAATGTACATGCATGGTCAATGGCGGTAACCTTCCCAGATCACCTCACGCACGTGGCTTTGCCTCCAGGCAAAATGGCTTAGCTACGCTCCTGATTTGGATACGCATTTTGCTATTTCCGCCCACGTCCCTATCTTTCTCTCTACGGCTGACGCCATCACAAAGTTTCGAGCTTAGTCTTCAAAGTTAAATCTTCTATGTTTTTAGCTAGATCTTCTTTCTATGTTAAATCTTCTATGTCCAGCGCTCACTATGTGCGTGCGCGAGGTTTACGTGATAACACTGTGTCCGTGTTTCAGTATGCGGCGTGGCGGCGTACATAGTCGTCAAGTACAGGGTGGAGAAGACGGCCACGATAAAGAAGGACGCGCAGCAGAAGCCAGCAGCGAGGACTACGGCCGAGGAGAGAGCAGCAGAGTGCATGTCGGACGTGTCTACGGACAAGTTTAAGTGTACGTGTGGCGTTAGCAACACACGTTGGGGGTGAGGGAGGGGAGATGATGGAATAATATGTGCAGCGCTCGATTGTTAGATGCGTTGGCAGTCGGCAGTATTTTCGAAATAAACATACAACCTACGCGTAGAATTGTTTTCATTCGTATCCCAAGCCACCCTCAATACATCGTGTCCACCTCCAACACATCGTGTCCACCTCCAACACATCGTGCGTAATGTGTATGTGTCCACGCGTCTGCAACAGGCTGTCTATATATTTTGTCCGTCTGTCCGGACATTCTTTTATCCACATGTGATTTTTCACTTTTTCTACATTTATCTCTCGCTCTCTTTCACACACACGCACACGCACACGCACACGCACGCACGCACGCACGCACGCACACACATACTCTCTCTCTTTCGCTCCCTCTCCCTCTATCTACATATTTCTCGCCATCTCTCTTTCTTTCTTTCTTTTTCTCCACTCCTTTTTCTCTCTCTCTCTCTCCCATACTTCTCCCCCTTCTCTCCATCTCTCTCTTTCCGTCCCTTGCCTCTCCTTCTGCGACCCCGTTCTCACAATCACTCTCCATTTCACTCTCTGTCTCTCTCCATCTCACTCTCCATCTCTCTTTCTCTCTCTCTCTCTCTCTCTCTCTCTCTCTCTCTCTCTCTCTCTCCACCCCTCTCTCTCTCTCTCTCCATCTCACACTCTCCACCACTCTCTCTCTCCCTCTACGATCCCCCTTCTCTTCATGAATCCGAAGCTCACCCGTCTTCTCCCGCTCCGCAGGCCGAGAGTGGCTCAGCAGCTTTTACGACCGCAAGGTGACGCTCCGGCTCGGTCCGGGAGAGAGCTTCTTCGTGCTGAACAGAAAGTGCGAGCGTCTGCGTCAGATCAACCTTAACAACGCCTACAACATCATACTCGAAATCAACGTCGACACGCAGGACCAGGTCGTCACCCTCGTCCGCCTACCACGTGATCACGATCTGGTAAGCGCGGCCATGTTGAATTTCCCGTTTATTATTATTATGTATTATTATCATATCTTTATTGCATGTTGGATTTTCGTTTATTATCATCTCATTTTCCAGTGATTACCGTTTATCTCATATCATCTCATCTCATCTCATCTATCTGATCATATCGAGCGTAGGTTTCTCTTCTTCGTCTATCCGCAGGTGCTGCTGTTCAGCGGCGAGCGCAAGCGCAAGGTCTTTCTCTCGCACTTCAACGAGTACCTGAAGCGACAGGGCAAGTCGATGGAGGTGCTGCAGTCGGAGCTGCATCGCATCTACGACACGGCCGAGACGAAGGATAAGCGAGTGAAGCGTCTAGAGTGCTTCTTCAGGGAGGCGTACGCTAGGGTGAGACGCCACGGGAGGGCGGGAGAGACAACATGGTCTGCTTGCATCTATGACAAATACGACATACGCATATATGCCTAATTAATATATATACGCCTAATACGGAGATTAAAGTGACTGATATTGTCTATCACCGGTGGCGGAGGAGGTGGGCAGTGTGGATGGAAGAAGGAAGGGGAAATTAGGAGTGTGGCTGGAGGACCTCTCTTTCCCCAGCCTGTTATGCTAGCATCTATGACAAATACGACATACGCATATACGCTCTCCTATGACACTATTTGTCATAGGAAGAATCTTCCTATGACAAATACGACATACGCATATACGCTCTCCTATGACACTATTTGTCATAGGAAGATTCTTCCTATGGCAAATATTGGCGAGTCAACTTCATTCTGCTTTACAGCTTAAATTCACTGCTTGCGTTCATAATAGCGCTCCTAAACTCCTATGATGCGCACAACACATACAACAATATTTGTCATAGGAAGAATCTTCCTATGACAAATAGTATCATAGGAGAGCGTATATGCGTATGTCGTATTTGTCATAGATGCTAGCAGAACAGGCTGGGGAGAGAGGTCCTCCAGCCACACCGCAAATTTTCCCTTCCTTCTTTCATCCACACTGCTCACCTCCTCCGCCACCGGTGGTAGGCCATGTCAGTCACTTTAATTTCCGGGTTTAAGTGTTGATTTTCTCCTCAGAGGTTCTCAGAGATCTACGTACATCATAACGTCTGTATTTGTCGCTGTTATTTCTCAGCGTTTTTTTTTTACCGTACGTGTGTTTTTACCGTATTCTGACGCCATGTGCGAATCGATGTGACGTCATGTGTCATCGTGTTCAGTGATTCTGACGTCATGTGCGAATCGACGTGACGTCATGTGTCATCGTGTTCAGTGATTCTGACGTCATGTGCGAATCGATGTGACGTCATGTATCATCGTGTTCCGGAATGTAACCTCGTAACCTCGTAAAGAATAGTCTTCAAAGTCCAAGGAACTATATCGAAGACGAAAAGAGACAAGTTGATCATGTAAGAGTTATCTGATTCGACGGCGAATGTTTGGACGTGAACCTATCCGCTGGTGCTTTATACCCACAGGCGATGGGCATCAAAATGAACGCGTCCGTTCCCATTGACCCCGTCGCCGAAGATGACGTCATGCGAACGGAAGTGACGAAGTCGGAGTTTGCAGATGCGCTGGGCATGAAATCGAACTCGCTGTTCGTCGAACGAATCTTTGCCGTCACGGACAAAGATGGCAACGGACAGATCAGCTTTCAGGAGTTTCTCGACATGGTCGTGTTGTTTACTAAAGGTAAGCCCGCAGACGAAATAGCCGCGTATGTAATCAAAGACTTTATATACTAGGGTCTATATACTAGGGTAGTATATAGGGTCTTTGATGTAATAGCGGTTTTGTGATTAATTTTATATAAGCTATCACGTTTACACTAAAGGAATAACTAACGTCATACAGCGCGTGGTCGGAACTCACAGCGGTTAAGTTAAATGCAAGTACACCCGTTTGTTATACCGAATATTAAAAATTGTAAGGGCTTTTAAATTGTCTCGGTTTTTTGCTGTTTATAACCGATAATTTCTTCTTGATTTAGGAACGCCGTTAAACAAACTCCGAATATTATTTGACATGTTTGACGTTTCGAGGGACGGAAAACTCGGCCGTAAGGAATTCGCCGAAATGATCAGGTATGCGCATGCGAAGCTTGGCATCTACCCATCAATCGGAGACAAGACGAAACTACAATTACCTTATTTACTTATTACGATTATATTCATACTTATTAGATAGCTTATTTTCCTACCTGACAATGTTTTTTTTTCGCAGAAAATTGTGGTAGAAATGCGAGGCGTGCTCTTCACGTGTTATTGTACTTTCCCTAGGTCGTTAGTTCAGTCGACGCAAACGCAGTTCGCACGCAGGGACGACGCCGACCACCTCATCGACACCATGATGACGTCAGCCGGGCTCGGTGAACAAGCGGAACTGACGTTCGACGAGTTCCGGTGCCTGCTTCATCAACACGGGAAACACTTAGGGCAAATCGGGTTACATCTGAAAGGTGATTGCGGAATTCCGCGTAATTGTAACAGAAACAAGAACATACAATAAAATCAAGAATAAGAAAGTTAAAAGATAAGATAGAATGTATAATGATTGATGTAGGATGTATGTGGGATAGGAGGTAATAAGAATATACATACGAACAATATCTATGACGATCCGTAAGGCATGTGCCGTACTTGTCACTAATTACGTCGTCAACATATGTAAATAAAATGAGGCTAAATATAGTGAAATCATAGAGAAAGTACAGAGTGACATGCAGTAAAGCAAAATGCTAAATCTACGATTAAATTGACAATCTCTTTGGCAGGTACAAAGCAAGTTTTTGTAATGAAGAAGCTAGGAACGAGGTAAATCCCTTTTCGTATGACAATCGAAATTGTTCTCGCATTTCTTTGCTATTAGCAGTGTTTTAACCACATTCTAAGCGTAAGAACTGAACTAAAGGTGCAATAAATGAAATAAAACTGACCTTGTTCGATGAATTAACGCGCAAATAATTAAATGAATGAGTGAATAAATAAATAAATAAATAAATAAGTAAATAAATAACTAAATAAATTAATTAATCGCTGCAGGACTGATAGCTTTAAAATCGAGGACGGCAACGTGTTTCACGTCGAAGTGAAACGATCGTTGATCAAGAAGAAGTGGAATGCCTTCATCACGTTCATGGAGGACAACAGGCAGAAGGTGTTCTACCTGACGCTATTCTACTGCATCTGCCTGGCTCTGTTCGCAGAACGCTACGCACGTGAGTGTCTATTACAGATATTGAGAGTGAGAGAGAGAGAGAGAGAAAGAGAGAGAGAGAGAGAGAGAGAGAGAGAGAGAGAGAGAGAGAGAGAGAGAAAGAAAGAGAAATAGAAAGAGAGAAAGAGAGAAAGAGAAAGAGAAGAGAGAGGGTGAGAGAAAGAAAGAGGATGGGCTAAGAGAAGAGAGAGAGAGAGAGAGAGAGAGAGAAGAGAGAGAGAGAGAGAGAGAGAGAGAGAGACGAGAGAGAAGAGAAGAGGGAGAGAGAGAGCGAGAGAGAGAGAGAGAAGAGAGTTGATGAGAAGAGAAAGAGAGAGAGAGAGAGAGAGAGAGAGATAGAGATGAGAGCAAGAGAGTATAAGAGATAAGAGAGAAGAGCGAGAGGCGAAGAGAGAGCGACAGAAGAAGACATAACGGTCTGGAAATTTTATCGTCTGCTCTGACCTACTCTGATTCGTCTGCGTGCAAGACCAGGATTACTTAGTCGCGGTTTATATCGTCTGGCTCTCTCTCTATCGTCTGCGGTCAGCACAGATTACTTGCGTGGCTGTCGGAGAGCGAGCGCAAGCGACCGGGTGCGGGGGCGGCGCGTCATGGTCAACGGCCCACGTCTGTGGTGACGCCGCGTGGCGCGCGACGTCATGTCGTCTCATCCAGTGGACGTTCTGCGGGTGCGGCATGCTCACGCGTCTGCCGAGGCAGCGATCCATTACGGCAGCCGTGCGCGAGACAGCGGGGAGCCGTCATCAAATGCAGTACACTATCCCGTAGACCCTCGGGCCGGC